CAAAGTGTCTGATTATATTACAGAATGCTTGGGTTTGAACTGTTCCAATCATTCCAACAGGTGTTCTATATTAAATAAATCATGATTGTATTGACGTTGTAACAACATAATGATTTGTAAATGTTGTTACATTATGCTTTTAATGTTGTGGAGTTTTTTTCGCTCGTTTTTCTCCGCAGCTAAAAAATATGTCCAATAACGAGTGGTAGGGAAAAAAATTTTTGGACGATTCAAAAGTGTTGTACTATACATCCAATTTGAATAAAGATATATTGATTTCTGATATATTGATTTCTGATTTCTGAGTCAGTGAAAGGATCGTTCGCTTTTTTTGATACTGCTCTGGCTGCATGTGATAGGATTACGGAATGCTGTACTATACCTACATATTTTGTACTCATAGAACAGCAAAAATATCTTTCTATAATTTTCGCCTTTTTCGAATACATATGTATAATTAATTGTTGGTAACTTATACATATTCTGTTACACACGACACAAAAAATAAAACAAAAATGATCACTTTTCAAATTTATATATATATATTTTTAAATAATCAACATTAATATTACATTATTTCCTCGCAAATGTGTTATACCTGATAAGGGCTTGGGGCTTGATAATTATAGCCTCTGCCTTCTTATAGCCCTCACCTACGGCAAACTTTTCTTTCATTCGTGTTGCCACTCAATGATTCCACTGACTGACAGGCCAAAGAACTAAACGAGACGCGAAAATGCAATGAGCGAGCGGCCATTCGTAATGACATACGTTCGGTTAACGCCACTCGCTCATTCGGTCACGAACTAATGAACTATGGAACGGGGAATGAGGGAACTAGTTCGCGTAGTTCATCTACGCTCTTTTGACCTAGTTTATTCGCGAACTACACAAGACTGCAGACGTCAGGGTCACTTAATGAGTTTCACGTGAAAATTGTTGTCCTCTATTTTTGAATGTCCAATTAAATTTCGTATCGTAATAAATTAAGTTCATGAAAGCACATATAAGTTATAAAAAGAAAACCAGATACACACATCAAAAGTGTCTAGGGATCAAGCATTTTTATGCGGATTTCTTGAGATTGAGATGTGGCTTTGTAATAAATTTAGATTTTATAAATTTATATGGATCCTTTTTGGTGCATTTCATAATTTGAATCAGGAACTGTGAATCAAATTCGAGTAAAAGATGAAAATCAGCTGTCAATATTTTCCCTATAAAAACATACAACGCATTGAAGACATTATTAGTGCTACTGTTTCCCTACTACTGATTAAAACCAACGTTATTATGGAGCGGCGACGTCATTTAAGCAGGGAAGAAATGCTCAGAGCCGTGGGAATGATGGAAGCTGGTTCCCGGCAACGTACTGTGGCTTTAGCTCTGAATACAAGTCAGAGTGTTATCAGTCGACTTTGGACACGATACCGAAGCACTGGTACCGTGGCTGAGCGCCATGGAGGACGGTATCGCTGCACCACACGGAGACAAGACCGATACATTCAAATCTTAACTCGAAGAGCTCCAACAATAACCGCCATGATGTTAGCCGTGAGGCTTCATCACTCTTCAGGGAACTTAATTAGCGACCAAACAGTCAGAAACCGCTTGCATGAAGTGAACCTTCATTCCCGAAGACCGCTACGGGTACCACCTATAGCAATGCACAATCGTAGGATTCGATATCAATGGGCTCTTGAACACAGAAATTGGGCAGAAGAACAATGGCGTTTCGTGTGCTTTTCTGATGAGTCTCGTTTTGGTATGAGACCGGATACAAGACGTATACGACACTGGAGAACCCCTGGACGCCAACAGCGATTAAAATCCTGCCAGGAAGTCCATCCTTATAGTGGTGGAACCATCATGGTATGGGCGGGTATTTGGATCGGCGGAAGAACTGAGTTGATTTGGATCAGAGGCAACCTCAACGCTCAAATTTATGCTGAGACGATTGTATCAGACGTCATCGTTCCTCTACAAGTGCAAATCGGTCCCTTATTTCAGTTAATGCATGATAATGTACGACCGCACACCGCAAGAGTTGTAAGACAGACTCTCGCCGCAGCTAACATCAATGTCCTGCCCTGGCCTGCTCAGTCGCCAGACTTGATCCCGATTGAGCATGCATGGGATATGCTACAGAGAAGAGCTCTGCCGAATATGGAGGGTATCCAGTCGCAAGAAGACCTTTTTTTGTTGTTGCAACGAACATGGGCGGCCATTCCACAGCGTGATTTGGATGAACTCATTTTGAGTATGCCAAACCGATGTTCTTGTGTTGTTAGTGTTCGCGGTAGAAATACGGATTATTAATTGTTTAAGTTACCCAATAAAATTTTAGAGAAAACTGTTATTTCAGTCTTTTTTTCGAACTTTTGTGTTAGTGGTTCAAATGTCAAAAATCCCTTTATTAGGAAAATGGCAAATTTCTTTATTAATGCAAAGGTGACTTGGTTTATCGTTACTGTGACAAACGAAAACACTTTATTTGATGAATCCTTAAAGAAAATTTTAATTAATATCAATCAGGAGAAAAGTTATTGCAAAAATATATGTTGATCCCTAGACACTTTTGATGTGTGTACTTAAAGGTTATTGTGGATTTTACAATAGTATGAACCGGTTATCCAAAAGATTTAAAAATAACTGGAGTAACTGTGTATAATACGCAAGTATAAATCACTTCACTTATTTAAAAATCGTAACACTTAGGAGGAAAAGATCAAATTCGATTGAGAAACTGTAACATTATTCGTAACCTGTTTCCTGAGTACACATTACATAATTTCGAACAAAACTAATGGAAAAGATGATATCGATAACAAACATCAGAAAAGAAACTGATTCCTATCAAGAGGGAAAGGCTTATAAGTTATTATACTGGAGTATTTTTAAAGAGCATTATGAAGACTTTTTGTTATTTGTTCTTGTTTTTTTGTATTACAAAAAGATTAGCAAACTAGTATATGGTAAGCGGTCACCTTTTTCTGTGTTCTGTGGCGGTCACCATAATTTAAAATTGCCTGAGGCATCAGTTGTTTTGTCAACTCTTTTTGTTTAGTACATTCAAAATTGGAACGCGGGCACTATTGCCATTTCTTTTTTTTTTAATGTGATGCAATCTTTGATTATTTACACCCTAGATAGTGCGTGACAGCGCAGATACGTTGAAAAAATATCTCCCACCTGGTAGGGTTTAAGTCGTTTCCCATCATTTAGTGTTCAAAGCAACGCTGAGCGATAAGCATGTCAATTACCAAGTTTTCTGAAATTATAACGGACGCATAAAAACAACCAACAAAGTCCCTTACTATCGATAAGTAACTTCTTATTATTCACCTTAAAAAAGTAAAACTTATAATGAATACTTTTTATTTCAAATATTCAAGTATACATTTAAACGTTTTACAGATGTTTCAACATCTATGATTTTTAATTGTGTGAACAATATACTTATTTTGATTTGATTAAGTTTACCCGCTTTTTTCGGAATGTGGCCTAACCTGGTATCTTACGCATGCGTACCGAACTACCGAGACAAAAATAATGACATTTCGCTGACATTTCGCGAGTGTAAGATACTAGATTCGCGTGTTTTGATTTGCATGTCACGCACACAAGTATATAAAATCTGCTAGGGTCACCTAGTAAGCACTGCTAGAGATCTATCTATCTAGAGAGTAAATAATCAAAGAATGCAACATGTTTTCAACAGTATTACTATGTTTTTATGAGAATCAAATGTTTATATTCTACGAAAGATTGCAAACTGTAGGTCAGGCACATATCTATTTATCCAGTAAATAATTCATAAATAATGATTGCATTGATTTGTATACAAAAAGCATAGGTGAAATGTTAAAAACAATGTACGTTAAATCTATAATTATTTTGCAATTATCCATAACATTTTAAAAAATATTATTGATTCCTTCCTTACTTAAATCCCTAACAGCTGGCATTATAATGCATTTCCCCTATAAATGACACATGAATAAAATTCTGTTTTATTGATAGGGTTACAATAGAGTCACCCACCAAAACCGGTAAAGTGCGAGTTGGATTCGCACAAAAGGGGTCACGTATCATCCTACAAAATATTACGGGTCTTAACAGCAAATGTAAATTACGATTTTTAAAGATAGAGAATGAAGAAGTAATTTAATATGGGAACGTAATACATATTTTGTATTGAGAGTCTTAGAAAATAAGTTGCATTCGTTTTCATAAACGTCTTCTCTGTGCTATACGATAAGAAAAATATATTATCATTTCTGATTGACTCTAGCATATCACAAAATACGCTATTGGTTTCACTCTAAATATATATAAAGATTTCATTACATGCGTATCATGGGAACTTTAAAAACATTATAATGTCATGGTCAACTTTTTCACCAAACTTTTACATAGCAGAAAATGTAATAAGAAGTAAATCAAACTTGCAATCTTAAACATTCGTGTTTATTTTAGTGTCGCCGCACACGGGCCACCGACCACAACCACAAAACACCGCCAACGGCATATTTCTTGTAGTTTTCATACATTTTATACGGACTCGCCACACACGGTACGCCGGTGGCCGCCACACGCTACAAATCGTCGTTGCTCGCTTCTTGTGGCACTTTAGTAGCCGATTCTAGCTTCTCGTGGCGGCGTTTGTGGCTGTGGCGTGTGGCCCGTGTGCGGCGACACTTAATAGAGAGATAAGACATCGAATCTCGCATGTTTGTTTATTTATAATCCATAATGATGTACGTAAGAGCAGCAAATAATAAGATAGTTCGGAACAGAACTAAAGAGAAGCATTCATTAATTACTGTTGTGATTACATTATAAAGACTCATCAAAGAAATATGTCATTGTTGTGTCATGAGGATAAAGATTGTTTTTCGTCACTCATTGACCTCATTATCTAATCTTTCACATATATAACAAATCAGATTTTAACAAAATGTTTTCAGTTAAACATAATAAGTGCATAAGAGAACATCATGAAGAGGAATCTGGAAAATAAACTAGCTGTCATCACTGGAGGAGCGCAAGGAATCGGATACTCTATTACCGATAAATTTCTAAGGAAAGGTGCTCGTCTTGTCATCATAATTGATATTGATGATAGACAAGGTCTAGCTTCAGTAGAAAGATTGAAATCCAAATATGGAGTAGACAGAGCAGAGTTCATCAAATGTGATGTAACTACTGATATTGACGCTGCAACAAGAAAAATCTTCGACAAGCACAGCAGCATTGATGTTCTGGTGAACAACTCGGGTATCCTTAACGAGTTCATGATTCAGAAGACTGTCGGCATTGATGTGACAGCACTTATGGAATGGTCAGTGATGTTCTTCGAGAGAATGAGGATGGACAAGGGCGGTAGAGGTGGCATAGTGATCAACATGGCTTCTATATACGGGTTTCGCGTAGATCCCTTCCTGCCTATCTACCAGGGATTGAAATTTGCTGTGATCGGGTTCACGAGGAGTTTCGGCCATCCTTACCGTTACAAGAAGTTCGGTGTGAGGGCCGTTGCAGTATGTTCAGGCTTTACGGAAACTAAGTCGACGACGGATGTGAAAGTGAACGATGATCCAAGTTTTCAGAAGGATTTAGATGGCATGTTGAAAAGTGTACCCTGGCAACAAGTAGAAGCAGTGACGAACGCTGTAGTGGATGTATTTGAGAAGGGTGATAGCGGAACAGCATGGCTGATTGAGGGCTCAAAGCCAATAACACAGGTCTAACCATTAAGTATTCTATTATTGTAAGTAGTTTTAATTAAATAAATTAATAATCAATATTTTCACAGTAATTCGCCTAGCTCCAAAGAAAACACTGTAGGCTTATGTTTATGGGATACTAAGGGTAACGGATACAATACATATACTGATACAGATATATAGACTGAAGTACAAATGCTCGTATTCAACCCACAAACATCTGTCCCCACCGGGATTCGAACCCAGGACCTCTCGAGTAGACAGACACCTTGAAACCCGGCGTGTAAACCACTCGGCCACCGAGGTCGCCAAATAATAAATTTAAGTACACAATTTGAAATCCTTGTTTTTAACTATGTATAATGAACATTAAAATTCATATTTGTAAAATTGTTTCTATACCTAATGGTAGAAATAATGATTGTTTGTACAAGTTGCATCAAATCACAAAAACTTTGTATAAGTATTCTCGCGATACTTTAATAGATAATGATTTTCAAGATCTAACTTTATACTTTCGCATGATATTGATTCTGCACAAGTTTTTTAAATGTTAATTTACAATTCGAGGAACACATAGCTAATTTATTTAATACTTTTTGATATTGGCTTGTCATACTATCGTATGGACGCATTAAATACATGAAAACACGCCTCAAACCAATACTTTGCGAAACATAGATAGATCGATGAAAATAGACATGACAAACATTTGATTGCATAAACCGTATTATTATATAACTCACAATTAAGCATCACTTACATAGTATTAAATACTAAGTATCGTTTCCACACAGGATATATTATGACTAGCTACGATCTAGGAAAAGTGATCCAGCTTTCACATTGACGCTCGTAAATATGAATTACTGAACTTAAGTAATAAATATTGATCAACCAACGTGGTTGCAGAAAACATCTATATTATTGAAGCATACATTTTCAATAATTACAAGATGTACACGTCCGTGTGATGTAAGAGTGCAATTTTGTTCTAGTTTGAACAAATTGAATAGAAAAGTTCAAACTCTTTACTAAAATGTCTAAATTTTAATGAAATTGTCATCTTCTATACATATAAATAAAATTGGAGTGTCTGTTTGTAATATTGAAATAACCGCTTTTTACTACATGCATATGAATAGGTATATTTACGGTACATACATCATTTTTTTTTTTACAATTTTTGTTTGTCTGTCTGTTTGTTCCGGCTAATCTCTGAAATGACTGGACCGATTTTTACGGGGCTTTTATTCGTAGGTAGCTGATGTAATTAGGAGTAACTTCGGCTTCTTCTATTTTAGAAAAAACCTATTATTTTAGAAAAAAAAACTAAAAGTTATCGCGATCGAAGTCGCGGGCGGCCGCTTGTAATTTATATTTTAGTTACTTATGATTCTTTTCTAGACTTAGGAAAATTAGTATCTACTTATAATAGATTATAGAAATAACGTATGAAGCCACAGTAAACGTTTTTACAATACCTTTTCCGTTTTCTTACCTACATTTATATCGTATTAAGATTTAAGATTAACTCACATTATATTTAAGGAGCTGGCGAACAAAACGGTAACGAGCAGTAAAACACTTTATGATATACCTACAGTGAGCTTCTGGCGTGATTTTTAATTTAGTAATTTTAACACCATTTTAGGCGGTTTTGATTGACATGAGTTGAAATTCAAATTCAGCTGGCCCAAAACCTCCGGGCTGTAAAAAAAAGTAGTAAGTATATGGTCAAAACCGTAATTATACTGTTTTATTCGCCAGCTCCTCATTTGTTATTTAACCAGTAAACCACACATTCACGAAAAATATGCACGGGTTTGTTGTGCTCAATACTGATAGATCAAAAGTCCATACCTAACCTGATTATTTCAGACCATAAAGAATATAAGTACCTACCTATATTAAATGTATCATACAAAACAAATTAATTTTGACGTGACAACGTCTTAAATTAGGTTGCGGCTGGGAGTCACTTATGAAAAAGTGTAACGCTCGGTAACGTTACGATGAGTCTCTCGTGTTAAGTTTAAGTTTACATGTACAATGTTTTAGTAAACAAAATATATTTCTATAGTTAAAATTTGTGCAATTCTTATTTTCATTCAATTCCTTGTTCCTATTGTGCAATTTAATTATATTCATATCAATAAATATTCTACCGAGAAAAAGACGTTGTCACGTAAAATCTTCGCCCGTAAAACCGACTTTACAGGCAACCATTTTTTTTCGTATTAATTATGTTTTGCTTTGCCTTTACCGGTTTATGTTTTAGTAAACATATGAATATATTAAACAGATACTGAATGAGAGATCTTAAAATGAATAGGGATAATGACTATTTTTATTTCTTCGTTTATCAAGTAGATTATCAAAAAGTATTGGACACGTATTTTTTCTTTTTTTACATAATATAAACATTGCAGAGATATATTGATTTGAAAAGTCGCATGACGTCACGTTTTGGTACAATTTTCACTTAAAAGTGACGTCACGACTCACGAGCCCCTACTCCCAAACTTTGACGCGCTATAACTTTGTCATTTTTTGGTTGATTGCCCAAAGAAAAAATACGTGTCCATTATTTTTTTGATCATCTAACTGACGGACTAAATAGAATTTCGTTTACTGACCCCGTCATCACCCCTATTGTGTAGATATATACGCTTATCCCTAATATTAAACTAGATTATATTACGATTATGTCTATCACTAATCAAATCAATAAAAAAAATGTAAGACGCTTCCGTACATGAACGCAACCTTCTCCAATAAATTATAAGAGTTGCATATAAGTCACGTTTAAAAAAAAGAACATCATTTTAAGTGCTTCCTATATCGACCGAAATTTTGATAGTGTACCTACTCAATGACCTTTCCATTTAATTGGAGTTGACAACTTGAAGTATAGATGCCTTAGGCTTAGGTGATCGTTGAGTTTGCACGGTTAGCAGGAAGTAATAGCTGTATTAAGGATATTCTTTTTCTGAAAATACTTTATCGTATAACTTATCTGGGGCAAACATATAATGCGATCCATTTATGGCTCTATTTTTTTTTACTAATAGGTCCGATAAATGACTCCACCCCACCTGATTGTAAGTAAAGGTGAAGATAGCTGGTACGGCTGTGTTAGCTGCCACACCAGCCATCCTCACCTTGCCGGTCTGCATATTACTTCTTCACGCCTCTTTTAAAGGATCCCGAGTTGTAGGAGAAAGGGAACACGTGAGCGGGCAGAGCATTCCATTTTGCGGATAGTGCGACATATTTTTTGGGAGAAGGGGAAGGGGAAGGTGGGATATTAACTTCTCGGAACACTCGCTTTTTATGTTTATCTACCTCTAACTCATGCACGAAATAGCAACCTTTTTTCTTACATCATTAACCCCCCCCCCCCAAAAAAAACGGTTTCGAAAACATATTACATATCTTTTTACGAAACCGGTTGCAAAATGGGAAAAATAAAATTTAATCAAGTGACATGGGAGCGCTCAATCACAACGAAGTAAGACGACTATTTGCAACTGCAAATCCTTTAACCCCCGTAAACCGTTTTGAGGTGTCTCAGTAAGTGCAAGCGCAGGATGGTCGGCAGGCTTTGTCGTATATCTGGTTATATTGATATGGCATATTATTATGGTTACTAATAATATAAAATGAACATACTATAAAATGAATTTATTTAGCTACTTAAATATGCCTATGTGTCATATATTTTGACTACCAGGATATTTTTTACGGTGTCATAATAAAAAAAACTAGTTTTTCATAGATCTATCGATTCATAATAATTACATTGTTGGCGGAGCTGGGTGTGTTTTGCCCATTGTCCTTTTGCTAATTAATGCAATGGTTTAAAAAAAACAATGGAATTATAACAGCAAAAGTTGTACACCACATCAGCTGTTCTCAATGAACCATATGCGATGGATACCGCCGAGGTCGTGACGTGAACGTGAGAACGGATATACTTAGAGCCTGACGATAGTGCATGACGTCACTACACATACATACTATGAACGCACCAGTAGAGTAAAGAGTTCAACACGTAAAATTTACTAAATATTAATTAGTTGTATTTTTTTTATACGTGTTGCAACAAATTGCAACACGTATAAAAAAATCCTGATCCCCACTCCACCTGATGTTAAGTGTTAGTGGAGTCCAGTCAAGAAAATAGGTTATATATAAACTGAGATGCGGCAGAAGATGTGCCGCTCCAGACATCTTTACCTTGCAGGCCTGAACCCAATCCCCTAGCCCTGTGGAATCCTGAACCCTAGTCACCAGCAGAAACAACACGACCAAAAAGTAGTGTTTTTTTACTATGGTCTTTTATACGGTTGCTTTGCTCTCACGGTTCTCTGTTTGGGGAACAGGCGCTACAATTTGAGCGGAAATCCCGCTGTGCCCTACATCTCTAAAAATATACGCCAGCAACAATTTATATCAAAATTTTAAAGCCAATCAACCTTGTAAAGCTCTAAGATTGCCAAAATGCAGTCAACTTTTGATCAATGGCAAAAAATAATTTACAGTCACGACCTTTAATTTGGGACCAATTTAAGTTCGAATTATCAATCAAAAAAACCAACGTGTTTAGAGCAAAATTTTGACCAATTACCTTGCTTTATATCAGTACAGACATCTTCTAAACATATAGTCCTCCTATAAGTACTATGGTTACCAATAGTTTTTAAACGCTCGCGCTATTAGAAAGAGACCAATCAATGGATCTGCGTGCTTTACATTTCTGTGTATTTTCAATAATTTCTATGAGTTGCGTGTTAAGAACCTTTCCGTTCAACTCGTAAACAACTCGTTCCGATGTAACCCTGTACTGACAAGTTGACGCGACACAACGCACATGCATGCTCCAGATACTTTTTACTCGAAATGTCTCTTGCGCAAGGTCACCGACGCAGGGCCGCTAATTACGACCACAGACAGACAACGGGGACCTTTAGAATTAGTCATACGTAAAAGCCGATCGCCCTCGTATCGTAATAAAGCTTTATAGTCGGCCGGAATGCAGTCAACTTTCGATCAATGGCAAATATTTTTTTTAACATATTTCCGAGTTATTTTTGCAATAGGTACCTGGTATATAAATACATTTATTATTTATTTATTTTAAACTTTATTTACCAGAATACAAGAGAATGGTACAAAATGCGGACTTAATGCTAATAGCATTCTCTCCCAGTCAACCTTTGGGAAAAAAGAAAAACGCGAACGGCGGTACTAAGCTAAATATACACATTAATATAGACATAATAAATAATTATGCCTCTATTAGAGAATATTTATTGCTCTGAAAGGTTTACAATTGCTTGCTATATGGAAAGACTAGCGGCTCGCCCTCGCTTCGCTTCGGTGTAGAGCTAAAGGGTAGACTCCGGTTTTTGTTCTCAGACTTGTATTATACACAATGACATTCATCTATGATTCTTCTTATACCTGCATGCAAAGCCTCAGCCCGATCGATTTAAAATTGACAGTTTCATACACATACACTTTCATACACTTTCTTAGCGGATGCCTACGTTATAAAATCTACCTGCATGCCAAATTTCAGCCCGATCCGTCCAGTGGTTTGGGCTGTGCGTTGATAGATCACTATGTCAGTCAGTCACCTTTGAGTTTTATATATATAGATAAACAGCAGCGAGCGGCCCAAGGATCCTTTAATACCCATGCCCCGTGGTATTATCGCCGAGCTCTACTGGTCGATCCATGGCCAATTTTTTTGGCAACTGTTCTATCAATCAGACCATCGTTAAAAAAAATAATGAATGAAATTGTATTAGTACTGGATCTACTGGAAGGGAAGTGCTAAGATAAATATTGTTACCCATGGCACAACCATTAAAATTATTCAGAAAAAAAATACACCATTATGTATTTTCATGCTGCTCTTTTTCTTTTTTTGCTCATCATCATCATCATCAGCCGATAGATGTCCACTGCTGGGCATGGACTCTTTAAGGAATTTCCATACACAACATTCCTGTGCTTTCCTCATGTAGACGGTCCCCAGACCCACAAAAATAATTATAATTAAGAATAACACTTATTGAAACCTTTTTTTTTTAACTATAGACGGCCTGGAAAATTACAGGAAGAACTGATACCTATAGCCTATAGTTTGTTGGGTTAAATTTACTGCCAGACTTGTAAATAGGGTTTACCTTTGCTATCTTTAGTGAATCGGGAAACGCACCGCGCGCTAAGCACTCATTATTGTAGCTTACTAATCTATCAACTTATACATTTTTCAGACATTTTATTGCTTTCGTACTCATACCATCCAGTTTAGTGCTAGTATTGCTATCTAAGTTGTCAATTATATTTGATACTAGCGGCCCGCCCTCGCTTCGCTTCGGTGTAGAGGTGAAGTGTAGACTACAGTTTTTGTTCTCAGGCTTGTATTATACACAATGACATTCATCTATGATTCTTCTTATAACTGCATGCAAAGTGTCAGCCTGATCGGTTTAAAATTGACAAAGTTTCATACAAACTTTCATTCCCTATTTTATCCCCTTATCGAAAGGACTACGAGCAATTTGATTTTCCCGGTGTTCGATTGATAGAACCTCTGGCAAAAGAATTGCCCATGGATCGACCAGTAGAACTCAGCGATCAGATGACGGGCAATAAAGGCCAAGGAGTTGCCATTAATTTTTTATGTTAAAGGGGTGGCGAACAAGCAAATGGCCCGTCAGATGGTAAGCGACAACGACTCTACTTATCGACACTTGCGAGACCGAGTATTACGCGTTCAGTACCCGGCATGATTCATTACCCCTAATAAGGCTCCGATTTTTGTGACAAAGCCGCCGTGCCTATATAATAAATACCTACGTATTTGCAACAATTTTTTTTGTTCAACCACCGGGGGAGCGAGGAAAAGGTATGTGAGACTCCTCCCTGCTCATTTTAGTCAGCCCTTGGGCCCTACCTATAGCCCTGAACAGGGCCACTAAAAACCAGACAATGCTCCTACACCGTTCACCCGGCACGCATTCTGGGGACCGAGATCCCCCCAATGCGCACCGGGAGTGCAGGTGTGGTTATGGCACCCGATTTCCATCTGGCCACGATTTTGTAATAATCTGGAATTTCTACTAGGATAAGAGAAAAAAGAAACTCCCAATCAGAATCTTTAACATGAATGAGAAAACAACTTTTTAACAAAATATTAAACCGCCCCGTAAAGCTAAAATAATAAACCTTTTTTATCCTCAGTCAAATTAATATTTGGTAGCGGTGCCATGCCAACCCAAGTAGTAAATGGGATCAGATCTATCAGACAGACATGCAGGGCACCGACTCCAAGTAATAATTTAACTTAAAATAAAAGAGGTTTATTATTCTTTGCTTTTCGGCGGTTGCACTTTTTTTGTTAAAAAGTTTTAATTTTTTAATTTTTTGAGGCTTTATTTTTGTAATATACAACTCAGCACTAAAGTCTGTGAGTGAACAAATCACCCTTATATTCCTACCCTTAGGGTAGGACTTTTGTTTCTAAATTTATTACCAACTTCGAGGTATAATATGCTTAGTACCGAATTCTAAAATGGTTCTCTTATGGTTTAATTAAATCATCGCATTGTCTTGCTCTATATATTAACGAGTTAACTGTTAATTAACATCGAAAAGGGTAACCCTTTTGTAACACGACTGTTACAATAATGTGTGGAATTAAATTTTGTATAAGGTATCTATGAAGGTTTTTTTGTTTAGAATTCGAATATCCATGAAAATAGCATATGTTTGTAATTTGCCGAAAATCAATTTAATGATAAATTTAACTGAACAACGTAAGAATTTTTTATAATTCGGGTATAAAAAATGTTTTTATTTTATTTTTAACATTTTATTACATACTAACTGCGACTTCGTCTGAGCAACTTTAATTTTTTAAGAATCCCACAGAAACCAAATATTTTTCCGAGATAAAAAGTATCCTATCTCTCAATCCAGGTCAGCCAAATCCGTTCAGTAGTTTATGCGTCATTGAGTTAAAAACATACAAACTCACATTTATAATATTAGTAGGATTTACAAGTACATGTACATGTAACAGTATTTTGCCCTGTTTGTCTTGATGTAAATGTTAATTCTATATCACTAGTTAATGCTAATATAGTATATGACTTTAAGCTTTATTTGAAACTGAGTAGTTTATGATGAAATGATAGATAACTAAGGCATTAGGTTTTTCAATATCTAAAAACTATTTCAGTTCTAATTATAACTAAAAACAATCAGAGAAGAAAACAGCCATTGCAAATAGACCATTCTGATTTTGTAACCGTTCTTCCCTTGATAAACTTATGGGACTTATGACCTCCTTTACCTAATGCTGTTTTGGTTGTACATGACGTAACCTTTGTATTCAAACATAAAATAAGTAATAGGCTCCCAGTTCTTTACCAGCGCCTCTTTTCATGTACCTACTATTCGGCCAGTCAACGATTAGCATGTCAACAAGAGCGCACAAAGAGTTCAATTAGCGATGCTTGTTCATACGTTAAAACTTTCGTTCGAAATTCGACTCCTTTTTAAGTAAGTTAGTACATTACGACATTTGTCTCACGCCATTTGGAACGCAATGGGTGAACTATTCGGAAGTTGTTTCTATTGCCAAAAGAAAACGTAAGACTCAGTTGGGCATTGTTGTTTATTACAAAAAGTTACTTTGATTACTTTTTTACACACGTACGCTAGTAATTTATACGCTTTCGTAATATAACTTCATTTATGTTAATACAAGAAGTTTTTCTTTGCGTTCATAGATTTCTGGATTGATTTTAACTTGAACATCGATGTGAACATTTTCGACGTACAGTGTTAAATCTACTTCTGGCTAAAGAAAATCCACGTTCCCAAAGAGCACTTACCTTATCGATCTCATCGACTTGCAGCACAATTTTGAGCTTCGGGTTGTTCTTTCTGTAGTCCTTCAGGATCGAGTCTAGCTTCTCCCCTCTCGCGTTTCCCGTGTACACTAGATGCGTGCACTCGGAAAAGCTTTCGGTCGCGCGCGCGTTTTCCACATAACATACGAGGCGCGCTGCGCCCGCGCCGGCGCCCTCAACCGCCAGCGCCGCAGCGGCGAGGCAAAACAACAAACCCCACATTTCGCAAAAAAAAAAGAAACTATTCTAAGTTCAAACTAGCATTCCGATTGAAAAGTTTATCAGTCTGTGGTTGTTTTTTTTATTCAAAGCAAGCGTTTCGTTTCGTGGTTCGTGAACGAGTGGTGCAGGCTGTGCGTTTGGCGCGGACTAAGGCGCCCCCGCCCAAGAGGTGCAAGGTCACGCTCACCGGACCGAGCCTGACTCTAGGGCGATTTGCGACAACTTTTTCGGGCCTTGTTACGTGTTCTTATGAAATGAACTATTTTCAAAGGCATCTCGCATTCTTTAGGAAACGCGGTTTAGATGCTTATCGAGGTATAGTAGAGTTAATAATTATTCTATTTAGTTCTTTAAAAGAAGCGTAAACTTTTGTTACCTTACCACGTTAATTCATTTACAATTATGGTCATGGGATTACTTATCTCAATTATTGTTATTTCTGTTATAAAATATCCCAAAAATGTGAGTAATGTTGTCCTTAAATTAATCGTTTTAATAATTTTGTTGTACTAAGTAGGTATGTCACACGGTGAAAACAAATTGCACAAGCGAGTAATTTTCTCATTACTAAGTTCACCTTTTGTATTTAATTTTGTTATTTTTTTGTAGAAACTTCAATTCAGAATATTAATTACAATAACGCAATACACACTTTATACCTTTAACTTAACCAACTTATTTTTTTATATTTTCTGGTATCACAATCAAATCTTGCCTATTACCCACTTAGCATCAGGCGAGCCACAAAATTGTGCTTGTCTGCCACCCATAAAATGTAAAAATACTTATTCCTACATACCTACTAGCTTCTCAGGAAAAACATAGCAGTATGAGTCCGACTTCAAAGATCTTACATTGACCTAAACTAAACTTTTATAAATCAATAAACATAACTCATTATTTGATATAAATACTCTGTGAGTACAATATCACCATACTTTCGGAATGTACGATTTTTTATGACTATAATCTCAAAATCATCTGTTTACGTTACGGTTATCAGTATGTAGGTGTACAATCACAGTTTCATATCTTCTCAATGATTTGTGAACCTTATCTGAACCATGATAAAGCTCTATCTCCATTGGAGTAAACTGACTGTTCAATTTGCTGACTAGACGCACGTTTCGGTTGATTACCTCTAATGCCAAAATCTTATCAAAATATTATACTTATTGAAAGGAATACAGATTATTCAGTCGATTGGCACATGCGTCTATGCTTTGATATTGTTTAATATAAAAATCTTTGATATTAGCTATTTGTATTACTATTCGTTGTTAAGTACGAATCATGTCATTTTCGGGAAAAAAATTCAGAAGAGTCCGAGCAGAGAACATTGAAGAATTGCTAAAAGTGTCAAGTGAGTGTTAAGAGTTAATTATCTATTTATAAATATGCTTTACGACGAATGATCGAACAAATAAAAATTGCTAGATCTAACTGCATCCTTAATCTTCTAATGCCTAACAATTACGACATTATACTATACTTGAGGTGCGCTGATGACCTGGAACGAAAAAGTGTTAACACGGAGCCTTTCACCGAGCCAGCACGTGCAGGTGGACTTTGGCCGCGTTGTTCCATCTATAGTTAAATTTGCCCTTCGTTAAAATACTAGAGAAAAATTACAAAAAAATCAAAATTTGACACAATTTCTATGTATTTGATGTGATATTAACTATAGTCAAATTGAACTACAGATGAAACAACGCGGCCTAGTTAAGTTGAATTTACGCGTTAACACTCGATATATCGTGCGTTGTCCATCCTGAATAAACTTACATGGCTCTTAATTATGTAGAGTAGGACACCATACGAAGAAGTTCACAAAACATAGAATATTTATCGATTTTAAGAGTACAGCCGCAAATTTATTTCATGTCACCTAGATTGCCGCCAGCTCCTACTGTAAAATCAACCAATGTCAAGTACATTGGATAGCGGGATTTATTAAATTTTTCATTATTCTAGATGTTGCGGATCATTTGCAAGCACCGTGGTCGCACGAATATTTTTTTTGTTTATTCCATTCCAGAAGCCAACGAAAGCGTAGCGAGCATACTCCAGAGCACTACACCCACCTTCTCGTTCACAAGGATCGAAGATCAGACTTTCACGTTCCACCTGCAGGCCGAAAACCGCCAGATGACAGTTACATTTACACTGGGCCAGGAGACGGAGCTGGAGAGACGAGACGGGACTAAGGTAACAACGTTAACTAACCCTAAGGTCCAAATTCAGAGGATTTTGAACTCCATCAAATCACCATTTTCTTAAAGTGAAACTTCTTTACGCACGCTTGACTTGGGGAGTAAGCTGGCAAATGCGTTACGCTTTACGAAAAGTGTTTTCGGGCGAGCCGAACGGGAGTTGAGTGGGGGATATAAGGAAGAGAAAGCAGTGCACGCGCACATTTTCTTTCTCTGTTTCTCTTATAGCTAGTAAATGAAATGAAAGTTTCACTTCAGCCGTGTGGCCATAAGCAAACTCGTTTTTTTTTCTGGAAAAGGAGTGACACACAAGTATACGACTCGCCTTATGTCAAGCGGCCGCCCTAGAGTAACTTACAAGTAATCTGTGGCCCTAGCCTACAGACGCTAGCAATATCACTTTCGCCGTTATCCACCGTGAGAAATACAACACCACCAAAAGGCAGAGTTTTGACGGAGGTTACTTTCATAAAGTGGCACTCCAATTCGAGTAGTAACTCTGCTGTTCCCTACCCTTGTTAATACTAAAAAGAGTGACACACAAGCATACAACCGGTCTCATGTAAAGCGGCCGCCCTAGAGTAACTATCAAGTAATCTGTGGCCCTAGCCTACAGACGCTAGCAATATCACTATCGCCGTTACCCACCAACACCACCAAAAGGCAGAGTTTTTATTGTGGTCTTCTGTAATATGGGGGTTACTTTCAGAAAGTGGCACTCCAATTCGAGTAGTATGTCTGTTGTGCCCTACCCTTGAAAATACTAAAAAGAGTGACACACAAGCATACAACCGGCCTCATGTTAAGCGGACGCCCTAGAGTAACTATCAAGTAATCTGTGGCCCTAGCCTACAGATGCTAGCAATATCACTTTCGCTGTTACCCACCGTGAGAAACACAACACCACCAAAAGGCAGAGTTTTTATTGTGTACTTCTGTAAGATGGGAGTTACTTTCGGAAAGTGACTCTCCAATTCGAGTAATAACTCTGCTGTGCCCTACCCTTGTTAAAACTATACTTGCTGTTTTGAATTATAATAATAACTTTATTTGGAACAAGTGCAAATGTACATAAAATTATGTAACGTTAAATATGCTATAGTTTTACAAAAACTGTGGTGCAGAATTAACGCCCATTCCCGTTTAACATGAAAACAGTGTTCCTATTAATTTATAAGTAAACAAAATGTATTATTATGAGTGAATGAGAGTATAATGAGTTGAAGGTAATTTGAAAAAAAATATATTTGTGAGTAATATATTATCAATATTTTAACAAAACAATATCATATATTACCAAAAATTTAAAATAAGGGCCAAAATAAACATTGAAACTTTGGACCATTATGCTCACACATGAAGGTAGATAAACCAAATCTATTAAAATTACAATATGAGACCTACCAGGACATCACAAACCAATAAATCATGATCTAGAACAGATAAATCCAATACAAGACACAATTTTGCACATAACGTACCAACATCACTGCAAAAAACATACGAACGTCATTATTTTGTTTATAAGAGTAGGAACGTCCAGTACCCTTAGTACGAGTTTTACAATTACGAAAACTATGATAGTTTTCGTGAGCTCGCACTCGTACTAAGGGTACTGATTTTATTGTTTTCGTTTCAATATAAATAAACAGTGTTTAAATTCTATCATTAAACATTTGTGTCTTCTTAAATTTTAAGTATATTTGGTTACTTTTCACCAAAATGGACATAGAAACATAATTTACAATTACGAAAACTATGATAGTATTCGTGAGCTCAAACTCGTACTCAGGGTACAGCAGTACCATACGCTGGCCATTTACTGAACTAACAAGTCATTTCGAACGACTGATAAGCGCGACCAGGATCAGTGGTAGGAAAAGGGGCGGAGCAAATCTTCAAAGTCTTCTTTGCAATTTAGCAAGAATGTGACAATACCAACTCAGAAGTAGAAGACTTATAAGATGCAAATGGATCATCGCGACATCATTTGTATTTTTATAATTGGTGTCTTATTATAAATTTTCATCCCCCTATTTCACCCCCTCTAAGTTTTATTTTAACGACTAAAAGTAGCATTTGGTTTCCTCTAGAATCTATTTTATCTCTATACCAAAATACACACCAATGCCAAGACATTTAGCGTGCTGTAAACATTAAGACGTAACAGATAAATAATAATAATATTATTTATCATCAATAATCATGCATGTAAAGCGTGGTCAGGTAGTGGAATCCGCGGGTATACAACTCTCGGATTCAGTTCACCTTAGATCTCTCTCCGTAAACGAAACCTATAAATATTTAGGTATGTCACAGGGATTAGGCATCAACGATGCTGACATGAAACAGTCATTACGTGAGCGTTTCTTGGGGCGCCTGTCAAAAGTTCTTAAAAGTCTTTTGTCGGGCGGAAACAAGGTTCGTGCATATAATGGCTGGGTAATGCCGCTATTGATGTATTCCTTTGGCATACTTAAATGGACTCAAACTGAACTTGATGTCTTGGACAGAACAGTTCGTACATTGTTAACAGCACACCGTATGCATCACCCACGCTCCTCGACTATGAGATTGTATATCCCGCGGAAGTGTGGTGGTCGTGGCTTCCTAAATGCCAAGACATTACATAACCGCGAGATAAACAATCTTAGGGAGAATTTTCTTAACGTCGATATGGGGATTCATAGAGATGTAGTTGCTGTTGACAATGGACTCACTCCTCTATTTTTAGCAAAAGAAAACTGGCGCAGACCTGTTGTACTTAGTACTTTGGATCGCAGCATTGTATAGCAAAGCAAGGAGTTGCATGGCAGATTCTACCGGGCTCTCCATGGGCCTGACGTAGATTAATCAGCATCAGTATCCTAGCTACGTTACGGTGACCTTTTTGGTGAAACCGAAGGTTTTATCTGTGCAATTATGGATGAGGTTGTGATGACGAAGAACTACCGGAGGTTTATACTGAAGGATGGCATATTGGATGTTTGCCTTGCGTGCCATCGCCAAGGTGAATCCCTTAGGCATATAATTTCCGGTTGTTATCGTCTCGCCAATGGCGAGTATTTGCACAGACATAACCAAGTGGCCAGGATAATACACCAACAACTTGCTTTAAAATACAATCTTTTAGCATCTGAGGTTCCTTACTACAGGTATGCTCCAGAACAGGTTCTTGAAAATAGCCATGCCACATTATATTGGGATCGATCTATCATTACAGACAGGACTATTGTGGCTAATAAGCCCGATATTGTATTGATAGATCGACACGAACGCCGTGCAGTAGTTGTTGATGTCGCTGTCCCCCATGACGACAACCTTGTAAAAGCTGAAAAAGACAAAGAAAACAAATATCTTGATTTAGCTCGCGAGATTGTTGACATGTGGGACATCGATTCAGCAATTGTTGTACCGATAATCATATCTGCCCATGGTTTGATAGCCAAGAGCCTCGATAAACACCTTAAGAGGCTCGCGTTAGGTGGTTGGGTCAAGAGTCAGATGCAGAAGGCAGTACTTCTAGACACGGCCCGTATTGTGAGGAGGTTCCTGTCTCTGGATCCTTAACCACCGGTAGCAGGGACCCTGATCTTGCTGCCGATGGGGAACTACATTTTTGTATTTTTAAATGTTATTTTTTTAATGTTATACGCTGTAAAAAACTAATATTTAGAAATATAATTTTGTATGTATATTTAATGAAATAAAGGAATAATAATATTAATTGTAAAAAAAAATAAACATGGTAATAGATATTCTTATTAATATGTTAAAACTAAGGCCATTATTTCACATATATCCTGGGTCAAACAAGGTAGTTCATCCTGTATTTTGGCTTCAGCGCCCTTCCCCAACAGATAGGTACTTATTTTATTAAGCACACATTAGATTTATTAAAAGACAAAACCGTGTGATAATCTTTGATTTAAAAATATTGCTAAGACTCTCTTAATATTTCAATAAAGTTTATTATATTGAGGACTCGTTATATTATATTTCAGGTTAAAGTGACATACACACTAGAAGCAGACAATGTCATCAGTCAAGTTATAAAATCTCCAGACGGCAAGATATCATATTTCAGAAGAGAATTCGGTGATAAGGAAATGAAAATGGTGAGACAGCCATTGCAAAAACCATTCTTAAAGTCATAACAAATCATACTATCTCATCTAATCATAAATTTCCAAGAAAACTTATTATTATGTATGGTATGGGTTAGTTGTTTAAAAACATTGAACTTTAAATCGAGAATCGAATAATTTAAACATCGAGCAGTTATATGATTAAAAAAATTAATTGCTACTTTTTCTTTCAAATGTTTAATACTTGTAAAGGTATTCATTTGACATTGTGGGTTACCTAAAATTCGAAGACATGGCGCTGCCTTGCAGCTTAAGAAAGGCTAGAAAGAATTCGACACGGCCGTCAGGGCTGCGGTAGCGTAATCGGTCAGTGCATTCGCCCTGATATCGAAGGATGCGGGTTCGAGTCCCGTCTGCTGCCTGGTCCGCGTGAATATTTTTCTAGTAATATTTTCTTTCGATTTAAACATCGAGCTGTTACATGCTTAAAAAACAAAAATTATAACACTAAACTTGTCAGAAAACTAGCTGCGTCCGGCAGTTTCACCCGCGTTAATAAAAAAAAAGTTAAAGTGAGAAAGATTTAATTTAACCTCCGCGACAAATGTCTATATTGTAAATAGACATTTGTCGCGGACTTTTTTTGGAACTTTTAAAGGGGATCAAATCCGTCATTAATTGCCTTAACATTAAAAAGTAATGTTTGCGTAACTTTAATGGCTCCTACACACAATGCCGGATTGCCGGAAGTTTCTTCTGCATACAAAGTTGGACAAAGCTAATTACTATTCACAATTCGGGCACCCGAAGCAATATTTAGCTGGAATACGGGCCAAGACGGGAAGACCAAAACAAAAACTACCCGATTACGGGCGTACTCGACTTCATTTATTTACACTGTCGTTTACCCGTTCCATTCCATTCCCATTATAAGAAATAATAGTAGAAATTCGACCAATCATGTGAATCGGTTAATAATGCTGTAATTATCTGAAGATTGGAACCAGTGGATTTTTTTCTAATAAAAATTTCATTAGATTTAAAAATCCAGCAGTTAAATTTTTTACAATATAAATTGAATAACTTTTTTCTTTTCCAGACAATAACAATAGAAGGCTCCGATGTTGCAGCTACGGTATATTACGAACAAGTCGAGTAAACCATACAACTAGAAATGAGACAGATTTTCCAAAACTTACAAATTTCTCCAATGCAAATGTGGGTATAAAGCTGAAATGCTACTGAGAAAACTTTCAATAGAAAATTAAGTTTTTTTTAAGTCTGCCACAATCAGAGAACTCAGTTAAATTAAACGCTCGTCGAAGTGTTGTTTAACCGAAAACTAACCATTTTATAGTAAAATGTTCTTTATACTTAGAAGTTGATTGTTATTAGATTTTACCTAATTACTTTGTTAGTTATTGATTGTTTATAACTAAAGAATACGACCTTCCCATTCAACATAAATTTAAGTTGAACGCCGAAATATTTTCGCAAAATTACAGAGCAGGAAACATATTTTTACTGACATCTAATTTGTAATAATTTATTCTGTTTACAAAAATACGCCCTTTAATATACAACTTTTACCTTTAGTGTACTAGTCATAAGATCTAATGGAACCTAAGTTGACATCCTAAAAGCTCGCTCTAAACACTCTATCTATCATAGTCGCATTAATCCGGGCATAAGCGTAAGTAATGAGTTGCCTGCGCACCTTATACCTACATCAGCTGCGCGCGCGCATGTTAAGCAATACGAACCCTCCCCCTTCTATTGTCTATTGTCATTATCTCTGGTCTATCTAACGCGAACAAAGAGAATCGGTAACTGTATTACACTTGAGCTTTGAATTTTTTGTGTCGTTATTCAAAACGCAGTATAATCCATAAGCAGAGTGGACTGAGCTTTCCCTCTCCAACTGTACAGTATGAGAGAGACAAAGCGATCGTGCGGCTAATGGTTCCTACATGGTAAGTATTGAGTATCCCATAGATTTTTCTGCTTCTAGAGATTATCAATTCATAAGAGTGTCGCTCCGTGCATTCTGTCTTTGATACAACCCAAATGTTCAACCCAAACCCAATCATTTTTAAATGAAATAATAAATCATTAATGAATATGATGTATGAAATAGGATTTTTTTTAATCAAACATGAAATTAATAGATTTTCAGTAATTGAAGGCAGCTTTTTAAAAGTATGTTAAAAGTATGACTAGTATACATAGTCATACTTTTAACGATACAGTCGATACATGCTCGAAAAAATCTACTTCATTGAAAACATATTTAGTAAAATATAGCTCTGCCAACAAAGTTGTTTTTTTTATAAAAAGTTCACTGGTCACTGCACTTCCCCTACAAATGGCAACTTAGCAAAATGTTGCTAACCTAAAGTGGTTCTATAACTAACGGAAGTTTGACATAAAACCATTTGCCAGGTTGTGCATCAGCGCAATATGTATTCATGTATGTAGGTCACTTGAGCACCTTGTTTTGAAGTGTGTTATCTCTGAATACATAGAGTCTGGTCTGGTCTATCTAATATTGTTTCATTTTATTAGTTTACCTACTTATAATACTTTATTGCTTTACCGTTATGTTTTAATTTTGTAAATAGTCCCTAGGGATTAAAGCGGTATTTTGGTCCCTGTAAATAGAGAATAAAAATAGCTCTTTTCGAATAGATGTGATAATAATATTGATAAATTTAATTTAATGAGGAATGTGAACATTGTTATATTTTTTTATTTTTCCCCCCTATTATGAAAGGCAAAGGCAAAGCCATGCAGCCATGGTCATAGTATTTTAATTATCTTCTTTTTTAAATCAGGGTATAGGTGTGACGCATTCTAATGTGTTGGAGTGCTTGGCGCAATATGTATTGATATGCTTTTGTGAGATAGTCAACACTGTAATAAAGTTCTCATGTCCACTTGACCGGAATAGCTCATATTTAAAGATTCCACAATTCTTCAGATGTGCCGACAGTTGTAGCATGAAAGCACACTAATTTTATTACACAATATCCACTTTAAACGAATTAAAGAAAAATAAACATATAAAGCCCACCGAAGTTGATGAAATTTCACTAAACTCGCCTGTTTTGTTAGTAAAAGTTTCAACCACCAAAAATCACATTTTATTATCAAGTCACAGAGTTTACCAAATCAAAAAAAAATAAGAAAAAATACAAACTAAAGCGCGATATACATTCCACCTTCGTTTATAATGGCTCAATTTGGTTGCTAGCCCGTTTTCATGTGCACGAAATACTATAAGGCATTACTCGAATTTAGGCACCCAAAGCAATATTTACACTGAAATACGAGCTGGAAGACGGTGTCGGTCGGTAAACAAAACGAAAACTACCCGAATACGGACGTACTCTACTCCGTTCATTTACACTTTAACCCGAATTCCATTAAAACTCGTATTCGGGCTAACGATTACGTGTAATCGAGCCATAATTGTTTTGGTACTCTGAATTTGGATTTATTTTGTTTTATAAAAAAATAGCGTCTTCCTCGAATATTGACAGTGAAAGTATACTCAATATATAATACAAAGTCTTTTACCTTCAAAATCCCAGAAACAATATATTTATTTGTTTATTCAATAATCTTCTTTATATATATATATATATATCTATATATATATAATTCTTCTGTGAGTGTGCATGTCACTGAACTTCTCTTAAACGACTGGACCGATTTTGATGAAATTTTTTGTGTGTGTTCAAGGGGATCTGAGAATGGTTTAGATTCACAATTTTGTCCGCTGTACAATGTTTTTTTAATTAATTTTTAATTTATTAGTAGTTGTTGATTTTGTAATGTTTTACATTGGATCCGACAGACGGCGCTACCATACTAGACAGGACAACGTTTGTCGGGTCCGCTAGTATATATATAAAAGCATAATGAAAATTTCGTCGTTTGGAAAAATGCAGGAAAGGTGAAATCTCTTTCAGAAAATATGTTTTGTCTTGTTGTTCTTGTATCCAAATAAATAAACGTACTTTATTAAATATTCGTAATTGCATAGTGTCCACCTCGGGAGCAACATTATTTTAAAGCTTGAGTGACGTACTTTGATTCTCTTGCCGCGCTCAGGATTCTAAAACGCTCTCACTTTTAAATCAGTCTTTTGCTTCCTTAGTAAACAATCTACTATTTTATGTTATTCTAATTAAACGACTGCCAAAAGAAAGAGTTTTATGTTGCCGCTGGGTAAGGCGACGGTGTTATGAAGAACTCCCATCTCCTCATCCCGTCCACTCACTTAGCCTTCCCATAAGGGTGACTCAATGGTTAAATGGGCAGACCTCACCTACTAAATATTCTAGATTCTAGAATATATCTTTTCGAGCAGTGGTGGTGTAGGATTCTTTTTATATATTAAGCCGGTCTCCTGCGCCTGTTTTGCCCAACACAATCAACAGAAACATATCAACATTCAACAAACAAGTCTACACAAAACTTTGTTACACTACACATATTTGCTTGTATCATCAAAGTTTTTGCTTTCCATTCCCGATGGAAAACATGTACACAAATCACCCCCGCGCGGGTCGAGGGACAGGGTATTGTTTCGTAGGTAATTTTTTGGAGAACTCGCTAGCGGGTGCTGCGTTCCAAGCTCTGAGTGCAACTTTCCATTCTGACGCTTTAATTTTGACAGAAAATGTATGAAACCATTAACAAAATTTGCCATTTGTTGCACCTGGATTGTACGTTTGGAACGCAACCCTGGATATTTTGTGTACGACAGCAACGTGAGTAGTGCCCTTAGTACGAACCAATATCAAATTCGTAACGTTTGCGAGTCTGAAATGTCATTGTCAAATGTGTACTGATTTTTAGTTCGCGTTACGTACTTTGTGGCGCTGCTGTTCAAGTTTCTATACAAAATTTGACATTGACATTTCGCACTCGCAAGCTATTCGAATTCGATAATGGTTCGTGCTTGGGGTACTGTAGACGGCGTGTGTTGAGAAACATGTTTCAGAAACAAAGTTTTGTGTATGTGTTTTTTTTATTTTACATTTTTAAAAACTTTTACTGGAGACCCGGCTTTCTATATGAAAATATCATGCATGCAACGCAAAATCAAAAGACATAAACGCGCGTTAATTTTTTCATCATGAAAATATTAAAGTTTGAATTCCGAATTTACTGAATATTATAATAAAAAGTATAATTTCTAATTATCTAAATAGAATGCGATCAAATATTAATATTTGCATTGATGTCGCAATAGGTATACTTGGTCTTTATGTGTTATAAAAGTTATAGCACAAAATAATATGACGAAAGTAAACGTTCAAGTGTTGTGAAAATTAAATATCTATCTTATTTACAATACAATATATTTAATGATAAAATCAGTATCTATTACTGTTACGGCTTTCCTTTCGAAATTTTCGTTAAATGGTGTATTTAACATACTTGGTTTAGGTTTATACGAGTTTATGTCACATACGCAACCGATTTAAATACCACACCTACATTAAATGATCTCGAGAAGTATTAATTCTTGATAGGTATTGTAAAATATTTCGTAAACTGATTTTGCGTCATTCCACAGGACGAATGTAAAAACTTATATTACCATTTCACGAAAGCAACACATATCTCTTTATTTTTATTTATTGACATTCATTCAATGTAAATACACATATATAAACAGGACAACTCGCACATCACACAAACCTCACATTAACATAGAATTTTCTCCATTGTAAAAGTTTTTTTAATGGAAACAATGATTTGTATTTACAAATAGTGAGTATGCTGGTTTAGATTAGGTACACATTTGTGTATTTGCATGCTGGTTTAGTTTAGTTTAAGCCCGTATTCCACTTGACTAAATTCAGACGTTCTTAATCATTCAGTAACTAATTCACTCAAGTGAAATAGCATTAAGGAAGCTAGGGTCAATTAGCATCCTAAATCGGAAGAAGTGTGGCTTCTGACTGACTAAATCATTTAGTATCCTAATTAGAAAGCGATTTAGGAACGTGTGATAGGGTTTAGATGCTTTAGTCGCACCGCAGGCGTCACTGCGTTAGTACGTTTTTGTGTCTAAGATTACGAATTACGCGAGTGCGCGATGTCGGCGGCAAAAGAAAAAGAAGTATTGAGTAACATAATCGA